CTGACCCATTCACTCAGAACAGTAAGCTTGGTACAAAATTTTGCCATCACCTTTAGACACAATCCTAACAGGCCCAGTCAGCTGGAAGATGGGGACATGTTTAATGTCTGAAGTAGAGACTGTGGAAGTGCAAGGCCTCTGAGGTCTCTTTTGATTTCTACACTTGCAGCACCTTCACATTTTCCCTGGAAGGGTGCTCAGTGTGACTGTGGGTGAACACTGAGAAGTAAAGCCTTACACATTTTAAGCAAAAGCTCTTGCTCACCTAATCCTAGAATGGTTTGGGCTGCAAGGGACCTTAAAGGTCATGTCATTCCAACTCTCCTGCCAAGGGCAGGGACACCTTCTACAACACCAGGCTGCCCAGATCTCCAGCCAGCCTGGTCTTGAACACTGTCAGGGATTCACAACTCCAGGCAACCTGTCCCAGGACCTCACCATCCTTATATACAGAATTTCTTCCTAACATCTAATATAAACCTATAGCTTTATACATAAAGCTATAGGTTTATATATTAAAAAAACTATAGGTTTATATATACAGCTATAGGTTTAAATATAAACCTTTAGCTTAAAGCCATCCCCTTTTAACCTATTTGCCCTTGTGGAAGGTCTCTCTCTATCCCCTTTAGGTACTGGAAGGTTTTCTAAGGTTTCCCTGGAGCTTTCTCTTCTCCAAGCTGTTTTCACAGCAGAGGTGTTCCAGCCCTCTGATCCAATTGGTGCCCTCTTCTGACTCATTCCTGTGGGTTCACGTCTTCCTTCTGCTGAGGAGCCAGAGGTGGATGCAGCAGTGCAGATGGGTCTCTGAGGAGTGGAGTAGAGGGGCAGAATCACCTCCCTCGACCGACTGGTCCCCCTGATTTGGGTTCAGCCCAGGACACTGCTGAACATACCCATAATATAAATCCATCAGTGCCACAACAATGACTCCTTCTAGAAGTAGCTGCCTGCCAGTTTACCACACATTCTCCTACCACCACGATATCACCATCTTTTCACTATCAGAAATAGGGGTTAGGATATATCCTTACTATAGAGTGTTTCTAAAGCAGGAAGATTTTTTAAATAAAATGTACTTTGGTCCACTTGTGGATTTGTTTGCTTTCCAGACTGCATGCTGAGCAATGCAGTTCCCTTTGCATCATGTTTTGTTTTCCATGGGTACAATGTATCTCCCTTCAAATTAACTCTTCATATTAGGTACTACTCTAATCCTGAAAGGCAAGGAATGTACATCCAAACACCTGTTTCCATTGCAAACAGAAAGAAGCCACAAAGTCCTGTGGTCCTCCCTTATGGGTTTTAATTGTATTACTTCACGTAATAGGAGCACTATTTCAATTTTTCAAATCATTACGTGCATGCATACAGGTGCAAGATTGCCAGGAAAAGCTAAATATATCTTCCAGCAGGGTGTCATTGTCATTTGTACAGAAGCAATTTGCTTCTCCAGCACACAGAGGATTGAAATTAGCCTGAGGTACAACAAGCTGGGTTAAGCACAGAGCAAGCACTACCTCCTGACGTTCCCTTGCTGCCGCTGCCGGCGTCTCGCGACACCACGCATCAAACCCTTCTCTGTGCCAGCCTCCTCCAATTCCCTGTCAAACAAGTTTACAGGGGGAATTGCTGCTGCAGAGTTTCAGTGTTCAGCAAAGGCCTGCTCACACAAGCTGCACATCTGATCAAGGCAGCACCACCTCCCTGGCAGACCTCCCTGCTCCCACCATCGCTCTCCTCGTGTCCTGCCCCAGATTTGGGGGGGTGTTGCTCTCAAACACTTGTTCACAAAAAAATACCTCACAGATCCAGGCTGGGGCACCGTTAGAAAACAAGTGAAATCAATGGGGATGATAACAAATAGGTGTGATAACCACTTAACCTGTCCCTGCCACAGCAGCTCAGTGTCCTGGCGGTGCCCAGGCTGTGTGTGTGTGCTCAGGATCTCCCGAGCCAGCCTGCATTGGGTTACAGAGCAGCTCTTTTGGTTACACTCCCTGCTTGTCTGTCTGAGGCTCCTGCTCTCCTGGTTGACAAACAGCAAAGGGAAATAGAGCAATTGTGTAACACCTTTCTTTTTTTTAACCTGAGACAGAAAATGCTTTTAATGGGGACACGGTGGCTGGTGAAAAACAGCCCTTTCTGGTTTTTTTTGGGCTGGTGGAAGATACAGTTTCCACCAGGCCACATCTACTGCCCTACATTTTCGGATTTATTGTTGCTTTTCTGTGTTCCTTCAGGGATGCAGGACAGAACTCTTTTCCTTGGGTGAAGTATCATCTCTATAAAACTGAAATGAGGAATTGCTCATTGATCCCCACATTCCCTGCTGTTAGAACTTGCCTCAAGCGTGGTTCAGTATATTTACATTTGCCACTTGCCCCAGTATCTCACGGTCCTCCAGAAGTTACCACTTTTCTGTTCTTTCCTGCCTTAAAACAGGCAGAATAAGTCTCTTCTCCTTTGCAGAGTGTCTCCTGGATCAGCCTTCCTGTTTACCTCCCCTTACTAATATTCTATTCTTTGCAGTCACCCTCCAGAAAAGTTTGCACCTCTTCATGATTCTCTTATATTCTCCTATTTTTCAGCTTTCAGCTTGTCTCTCCTTTGGATGCTCTCTTTTTATTTTTGAACTTCTGAAGTGTATAATTTAATACTCTGGTCACATGCTTTACTATAGAAGCTTTTAAACTTTTAATTAAATTAATGGCACCTTTCCAAAACATCAAGAATTGCAATTTTTCAACCTAAATGGAAAGTCTCCAGGAAGATACCAATTAATTCTTCTGTTCCAGCTCTGAGTTTTATGTGAGTCTCTATGCAATTCTGTAATATGCATTATGCAGGAAGTCACATTACTAAAAATGTTCTTTCTGAAGTTATAAATCTTCAGGTGGTGGCATGGCTTGGTTTAATGCAGTGCTCATTTTCCCCACTATCTTATGGATCCGCAGCTTCACACAATGAATCTGGGCAATGACCTTCACTTTAACAGCTGATGCAGTCAAAGAACCACATATCACAAACATCCATGTCAGCCTCAGTGAAATAGTGCGAGCACTAAAACAAATCAGCAGCTACAGATTTCCATTCCAGCACACATCTGCCTGATGACAGAGTACCAAACAACATCACAAACCTATTTTTTAGCCCATAAACATCTCCATTAAACATAATTTGGTAGAAACAACTTGTAAGAGGTGAGGTGTCTGGTTGTATGCACTCATGCTGGTCCATTTTAGTACATTAAGTTCTCTGTAAAAAATATGTACTGGGCTCTTATGAACCTGAAATTCTTGTCAAATCTGTTTGCTATGGAAAAAGACCTCATTGCTGGCTCAGTCACAGCACCTGCACCTGAACTGACTGGTTTTGGAAGATGTGTGAAGAGGCTTTGTATACACATCATGGATGTGGCTGACATTTCAACTTACAGCCCAAAATATCCATCAGGGAGTACAAAGCAATTACCTACTCTCATCTTGACAGAAGGGAGGGGTTGGAATTTGCTTTCCTAATCATTCAGGGCTGTTTGCTAAGGGTCTGAGGTAACTCCCACATATTAATAATAATCCAATGGATTTACAGGAATGCATTAGGCTCAGAGAGACCAAACACCTGCAAGTGTTCCAGGCCAGACTGGACAAGATTTTAAGCAACCTGGTCTAGTGGAAGATGACCCTGCCTGTGTCAGGGGGATTGGAACAAGATGATCTTTGAGGTCCCTTCCAAAACAAGCCATTCCATGATTTTACATTTGCATAGGGGATCTCAGCCTCAATGTGTGTAGAGGCCTTAAAACACTCTGAACATCAAAAAATCTGAGCTCTTCACTGAGACAGAGTTTGCATGAAGTTTGCTATTAATAAGGTTGTATGTGTCACAGGTTTTAACCATGCCACTGATTTTAATGGTAAGGTTTTCACAGCCCAGGACCAACAGTCATATACAACTTGAAACATTCTGAAACCCTGCCACATAAAAGCTGTAGTAAATTTTCTATATTTTCATTAAATTGCTTTCTGCTCTCAGTTATCCGTCTATAAAATCAGTATGAGCTTCAGTCTGAGGAGACTGACAGTAAAAACTGATTAAGTTTTTACTAGTTTAAGAAAAAAAAAGGAAGTATTGCAGTAAATAATCAGAAGACTGACAGTTTATCTCAGTCCTTATTGTTTTATGGTCCATCAGCATTTCAGACCTGACAGCCTCTGCTGAGGAACCAAATCCTGGTACCCCACAGCTCTTCCCAAAAATGGAAAAGAAAGTCAGGATTCAGAGAACAAAACCTGAAGTCTACAGCCTCAAGTCTAAAGTTAGGACACAGTACATTGCAGGCAGCAGGCTAAGAATAACAGAACAAACTCACGAGGAGAGAATTAACAATAAAACACAGGAACTCTGCCTCTCCCTCCACAACATTACCTAATTCTAATGTCACGAAGAAGAAAGCAGAGTGAGTGTGTGTGCAGGAGATAACAGGCTGTCACAGCACCGCTTCAACCCAGCGCCAGAAAATTAAAGTTTGATTATTCGGCAGAAGCTGAGCCGATCTGAGAGTCACACCAGTGTCCAGTTCACAGCGCAACTTACCTTCACAAAGAGCTCGATTTCAGGGTCCTTCCCTTCCCCATTAGCAGCAACCGAGTCTGTCATTTTTCACCCCCAAGGCTACCAGCTGATCTCTTGATATTAAGTGGCAAAAGGAGGTTTCAACTGCACGGCGTGTGAGTTTCCCTTCCGAACCGCTCCCACAAAGCTGTTAAAACATCACTTGTAATGATAAAGCTCGAAAGCAGTGGAGTAAACAAGTTTGCAGGCAATTAAATTAATAATTAAGAAAGGCAGGCAGCAGAGGAGCAGTCCCTGTTACGGTAGTTCTTCAGAGCAACAAGTGCTGCTGTGCTCTGGTACAGGATCCTCATCTGTCAGAGCTGCAGCCCTCGCTGCCTGCCCAAAATAGCCCACAGCATAAAAAAACAGAGGGTGGGGTTAAACTCATAGGGGAGGAGACAAGCTCCTGGTACCTACGGCAGGATCAGTCTCTGAACAAATAATTCTGCTCTTCCCTGTTTTCAGCGTTTCTGTGGTTCCCTCCCTCATTCTACAGCTGGGAGCACCAGGGACAGGGAAGAAGGAAGTCCTGCAGCCGGGCCGGTTTCGTTGCTTTAAGCAGCAGTGATGTTTTTTCTGCTTTTCTGAAGGGTGTTTGTCCTGCCTCTAGCTGTTCAAAGTCCTAATATTGTTATTGCAGAGGAAGGTAAGAGAAAAAGAGCCAGTGCACTGCTGTTGGATCAGTCAAGGAATGGGAAGAAAAGCAGAGCTTTGCCTCAGCAACCCTCACCATGTGTGGGGTACAAAGTGGTACAGAAGCCAAAACTGGGTGAGGGAATCACCTGTGATGTGACCACTGCTGATGGAGCTCAGGAGCAGAGGAATGGGAATGTTTGGGTCCCATAACTATTTCTCAGCATGTCCTTGGTGTGCTGGGTGTAGAGGGGGGACAGAAGGGCAATGATTTGCTGGGTGGAGCGTGTGAGGTCAGTTCCAAGGGCCTCAGCCTGCTGCTGACATGCTGCTGTCATCCCTACTCCCCTTCCTTCACCCTGCATTCCTGGCGTGACTCAGAGGGCACCACACAGCAGCCCTGACATGAGGTGGCACCTATAGAAAGTCCTGACACAGCCAAAAGGCACGAAGGGAGGGAGTGTTGGCACAGGAGGGGACAGCAGGCAGAGGTGAAGGGGTCAATGGCACCTCCTCCTCATCCCCATCCCTGCCTGGAGGGACTTTGTGTCCTCCTGCCCTCGGGAAGTCTCTTCCTACACTTCTGCCCCTGATCCTGTCTCAGGACTGCCAAAGCTCTGGCTCACAGGTTGTTGGCAGCTCGAGCTGCCAGGCATGAGCAGTTTTACCTTCCCCTTCTGACACAGAGATGCCTTTTGGGGAGGGTTTTGACATGATCAAACACTCGCCTTTCCTGAAAGTGCTCTTAGCTGTGTGCCTCTGTGATGACCTCCAGTTCTCTCTGTAGGCATTTGACACAGCTCCAGAGCAGTCACAGCCAACACCTCCATGGCCATGGCATTTTGGGTAAGTTCTATGGGAATTTTCCCACAACAGCTGCCTCATGTGCACTACATGAAGGACTGAAATGGTTAACAAGTAAATCTCATTATGCTGTTGCAACTGTAATTACAACATAATCATCATTATAATTACTGTAAAAGTATGCTTATGGTTTTTAGATCTAATTAGCACTCATTCAAATTACTAGAAGGTTAACTATAAGAAAATTAAGTGTTATTACTCCTTTGATTTCAAATTTTTACATGTAATTTTTGGACTAGGCACATTAATTACCAAACATTTAGAGTACAATTATTCTTAAGCCTACCGGCAAGTTTCCAAGGACATGGGCTAGGTGTACTTACATGTGGCAGAAAGAATCATTGCATTGTAATTATATATTACAGTTATAAAAGTCTGCCAAAAACTTAAGAGTAATCACCGTATCTCTAAAACGCGTCCCTAAATAATGCATTATTAACTATACAATTATAAGCTTTTGGGATTTGCAGAAAAATTGTTTAGCTCTAGCACCTCGTGGCAACATAATTTCTCTTTAATAGAGGTTCTTGGTAACAATAGGAAATGGATCATCCTGACTGTTGACTGAGGTTACCTCAGTCTCACTGAAAACATTGTTTTGACATAGGCAAGTGGTTTGAACAAGTTATATCCCAGGACCATTGGCTCTGGAAGAGAAGATACTGCCAGCTGTGAGCACAGTAATAAGGTAATGCTGTTAATGCTAAACCAAAGGGTAGAAATAAAATCAGCTTTCCCAACATCAGCACTTACAAGTTGTGATGCATTACAAATTGTGACCTATTTAGATGTCTATTTTAGAATGAAGAAATATGTCCTAGAAGTGTCTAATTTTTTCCACTGAGCCCAGGGTAATGAGATAAACATGTAAAGGTCAGACAAATCCTGCAGTAATTTTTAAGTAGAAGAAAGTTATGGCTTTAGAGCCTGATCCCTGTGCCTGTACCATCCCTCACTCCAGAAGTTGTGTGTGCCTTGCACTTCTGAAAGTCAAACTCTAGATGTAGCAATTTCAGTAGACACCCAACGTGTTAAAACATTCAAATCCTTCCCTCCCAGTTACTGTCTGGGCTTAGTGGTGTGTTATAATTAGTAATTAGTTTGCAGATGAAGATTATTGTGCTGAGGCTCAGCAAAGCTGAAGGGAAACTTTGCAATACAAAGGGAGCAAAGGTGCCCTGCAGCCATTTCCATCCTAACCCAGATATAAACTGTGCAGGGACAGGCCAGATCCCACCTGGCTCAGGGTGTTCTAGGCAGTGCTGCCACTGGAAGGTGCCTTCCCCATTTGCTTCCACCTCACCCCCTGCCCCAGGACCTGATATGGGGTGCTCAGAGGCTGCAGAAGTTGAGGAGTAAATACCACACATCTGGTGTTCCAGCTGTGCTTTGAGGTATCCATGGAAAGAATAAGCCAGCCCACCTCAAAAAAACCCCCTCTGCTTTACAAAAACACCCCCCATGGAATCCCTAGAAGAGACCAAACATAACAGACAACATAACTTGTTCATAATGCTGATTTTTTGAAAAAGAGATTCTGGAAGCTGAATTTAGGATAAACATTGCACAAGGCAGTGAGTAGGAGGAAATATATATATATATATATATATGCACTGCTTTAGAAATCTATTCATGCATTTACTGCTTTTCTGTCATATAAAACTGACTTATCACTTACATCTGGGTGGAACCTTTCTGACTATAATGGTTTTTAGTGTCTACACAGCTCTTTTGTGTATTATGAAATCAGCTCTTTCTTCAGCCAAATTAAGGGTAAGGTACTGATAAATAATTAGTACACTCTCATTTTACTGCAAAGAATGAGTCACTTAGTTTGGCCTATCATTTTCTCACAAGTCAGAAGTAGCAGAGGCTTTGAGTTACACACAAGAACATTAGACACTGAATTATGAACTCCTCATAAGCCAAGTCATTATAGTTTGAGGTTTATGAGATATAGAAATGAATATGAGCACATCATCCCATTAATAAAAGAAAAGGATGGCTTCAGAAAAGGAACAGTCACATCCCTACGTAAGACTCTATTGTAGGTGAACCCTGGTGCACTATCAGCTTTCACAGGCCTGATCCAAGCTTCACTTCCAGCAAAGATTTGTCCTGAGGGGGTGAAGCAGAGGCCAAGCATCCAGAATGTAACTCTATCAGTTCTCCAGCACACTGCTACGTTACCAAGAAGGATCAGAGCACAAAGCACATCCATCCCCCAGTGCTTCCATCCAGCTCCTTCCATCAGAGCAGGTATTGCAAGTTTTGTATGACACAGACAACATTTTTCATTGTGATGAAAAGATGTAAAAGCTCGGTGCAGCTGTAGTAAATGCTGTAAATGGTATTCAAGGCTATGATTTTACCAGGAAATTATTTAACTACTTAGTTGTCAAAAACCCCACACCTAAGCAGCAGTCAGGGTAGTTTGAATAGGTTATGGAAACATCTCTTCCAGAGAGAGTTCTGAATTACTGACAATTTCCAACTGCATTTACTGGATGCTAGTAGTTTTGATATGCAACACACGTAAAAAGTTAACAACTGCAAGGAATCAATCCTGTATTTTTATTTTTCTTTTGAGTTACAATCTGTTACTATCAATTTCTTGTCTGAATTTCAGAAAAATCAGAAGATTTGTCTCAGATATCTGAGGCCAGACAGCAGGTCTGTTCCCCTCCCCAAGTGTACAAGACATTCAAGGACATACAAAGCTCTTCTCATCAGCCTCATGCCAGCACTCGGTGACCAGATACTTTTCCTTGACTCTAAAGATGTACAGTACCTCAAAATGTGTTGGTTTGATGGAATAACTGTGATTTTGTTCCTTTTTGTAAATTTTCCCACACTCAAGGTAATGGAAGAAAAGACATCAAGAGATACAAAAACAGTTATGCAGCCTGGTTGTTCCAATAAATGGGATGGGATGGGATGGGATGGGATGGGATGGGATGGGAAAGCCTAAACCAGAAAACTTTGCATTCCATTAACTGGCCAGTTTGAGGTAACCCCCTCCATACCCACCCCCAGTTATTATGAATCCATCACAGCCATGAGCTATAGCAGCTCTCCATTATCTTTTTATTAAAAAGCATTATTTTAGCTCTAAAATTATCTTGCTGAAAACTTTTCTTTTTAGCAGAATGAATCAGTTCAGACTGGAGTTTTGCAAAGTTCTAGTCCAAAATCATGGAATTATTTTTATATATAATTATGTTTTCAAATGGATGCAGCACCAAACTTTGCTGTAACATTAATAAGCATTAACACCTTCAAGAGAGAACCTGAAGATAAAAACTGAACCTGCTGTTCAGTGTGAAGAGAGATTGCATTATGGATTATGATCTCAGTGCTCACATAGAGAGAGCCTAGGTAGCCATTTGTAAGGAAGTGGCTCTGAAAAGGTACAAAATCATCTTCTAATGCTGCATTCAGTACAGAGACTTCTAGAGGGCAGTGGTTTATTTCACTATCATTCCAAAACTGACATGTCAATTAAAAACAAAAGATACTTCCAACCAGGACTGAGACTGCTCTGGAAAGTGGTATTGTAGGAGATACAATGGAGAGCATGACAGATTGTCCCAAACTGTGAGCCATATGGATAATGCAGCTGATAAAAGGAGAAATGTGGAAATCCTCAGCCCTTGCTTTTCAAAATGAATCCTCCATGTTATCAAGTGTGGTGAAAAAAACCAGTACCAGATAATTGTGATGTATCCATTGTTGTTGACTCACTACTGTCATAGAACTAAAATTACATTATTTTACTTCCAAGTCTGCAACAGAGTAAGTAATGCCTATTCCTCTCTTGTTTTACAGGAGTTCATCATGTGAGTCCCTTTTTAGATTATTTCTGTTCTCTTCTTTGTATGCTTATCATAAATTAAGTCTAAATCAATTAAGATTTGAAGTATGAACATGCAAACTAGGATTAAATCCCCTCCAAACAAAAGATCAGCACACAATATACTACTTTAAACCTAATTTATGAATTATTTTTTACAGAAAGTGTTCAAAATGGCATGTACAACTCATGCACATCTCAGGCTAGGCTTCAATTGCTCCCAGGAATTAAGGCTTAAAGAATGCACAGTTGCTGCTGATTTCATTGGACACATTTGTGTTTCACACTGTTGTTTAGCAAACAATTTGGCTGAGAGCTGAAATTACTTTCTGTGTTCTGATGCACGTTATTTCTAAAAGTTGAAGCCTTCAGCAGCTCAGTTTGAAATTACCCATTACTCAGGCTAGTGCCCATGGGTTCACACACTGGCAGCAGCACCTGCATGGCAGGTTTTGTGCATGGATCTGCACTGTGGGTTTCAGAATCCTCTGTGGTGTAGGTACTGTTTGGCATAAGAAAAGGGCCTCTGGATTTTTGCTCCCTGATGAACTCACACTGGATCAGTGTGAAATAGCAGGGCTCAACATCCTTACATCCCTCTGTGGCAGCACAGTTTAACCTCTGCAATGGTGATGCCTCTGGTCAGTGGCAGTGCTGCTAGTCCGGGTTAATGCAGCTGGCTGACCTCGAGCCTCTCAGTGAACTGAAGAACTCTTCCATTCTCCTTAATAAATTGCCTTCATTCATTTTTCATTTCACCTTTTGGTACTTCTGTGATAAACTTTCCACAAAGTTTGCCAGCTCACTTGCCTTAGTGCATCACCTCAAGCTGTTATGAAATGAACGGTGGGTTCTTTGTTCTTTTTTCCCTTCCTAAGAACTTCAAAGTAAGAGTTCAACATCTTGCAGCACCTAAAGTTGAGTTGGTGATACTCCATTTTAGGTTTGGTTGGGTTTTTTTTCGCTTAAGGACCCTTTTCACTGCAGAGTTAATGCAAACAACCAGGATGAATTGAAGCAAGGTGGTGAGTTAAGCACAGATGTGAACTTCTCTTCTGCAAATACTCTTTTACATTAGCAGATTTTTGCTGGTAACCATCACATTAACAGATTTTTGCTGGTGACCAGCAAACCCAGCTCATTAGGACTTCAAAGAACATATCCCACATTCTTAAGTGAAAGATGGTTGTGGTAATTCTTGAAAAGGTGGTTGGCTTAAGACCAACAGTAAATTTTTAGTGAAATTCAGCACTGAACACAGTCTAAATAACAGGGGTGCCTTGTTTAAGTCTGTCAGAAATGGGAATACTGGGCAGTCTAACTAGAAGGACATAAGGGGTTTTTTTGCCTCTTAAATGGAAGATTTTCCAAAAAATTTCCATCTCTTGCCAAAATCACAAATTTTCACAGAGCACGTAGCAGGTATCACTTTTATAAGAAAAGTGTGGACCCTTGGCCACTGGCTGCAATACCTGGGAGGAACTTCACAGACCACCAAAATGTCAAAGCCCAGTTTGTCTTTGCAGTGTCACTGCTCAGACACAACTCTGATGCAATTCTGTAGAAAATGGACTTAGGTTTTCCTGTGAGGCCTACATCAGCTGGAAAAGTTCTAATGAGATATGGACCCCTTTATTCACTATTAGCAACTTCTACCCATTTCTAGCCAAGCAGCAAGTCACAGTTGATACCAGACTAATTAATAAATATATATAAAGTTATCTCATGATGTTGAGAGAAAACTAAATTCCCCTGCAGAGGGTGGCAGCAAACAGAGACTCTCTAGTTAAGCCTTGCTTACAGGTTCATGCAGAAAATTGACCTTCAGAGAAGAAAAGCAGAGTTCAGAAGGGTAAAGCTGTGAGTGTTGTGAGGTTTGCTCCTCTCAGCTGTGCCTCTCGACTAGGTGGATGTCACTGTGGGGGAGTTTCTATCATCTCTGACCATGCTGGGTCTCCTGACCAGAAAAAGGTGACTTTAGGGTACAGAATTATCAAACCAACATGCTCTGCAATTCTCTTATATGCCATGAGAGATCTAGCAATCAAACAACAAATTAAAAGGTAATTGATAGCCCTTTTTAGACAACTAAGTATATAGAA